CCTGGGCCGCCAGTCCCCGGTCCTCGGTGCAATTGCAGGCCGTCAATATAGGCCATGCAAGCCACCGATTGCAGGGGCTGGATGCCCTGGGACGCGACCTTACGAGACATCGTCATTCCGCTAAACTCTTATTTGTTTTTTTGAAAATTTGGGCGCCATATTGGTACGGAACTGCTTTCTTGGGCAACGCCGGGCTAGCTCAGGAGGCCCAGGGCTGGGTTCGACCCAATGCCCGCAGTCCGCACAATAAAATATCGGACAATTCGGACTCTCATCACTGACAAAAACTACCATCCCTAAACACAAAACAAAGGTAAACAAACGACAAATATACACTGACGACACTGCCGGAACAAATTGGTGGCATTGGTGTTATTGCCACAACGCACCCACCCATCCTGTGATGCCTCCTGAGTGTCTCGGGGCATCACCCATCTCCGGCGGACCGGAGCCTATTCCAGGCGGTCTGGCGACCGGCCCATCTCCCCCCAGATATTTACTCTACTCCATTTTCATTCTTATTATTTATTTTATATAAACATTCCTGATAATATTACTATTTCCCTTTCTATTTGGTATACTCCACTCCCGGCGAGAGCGTGGCCCTAGCCAGGGATGCGCTTGCGCCAAGGCTGCGATGTTGGGGGACTTAAAAAGCTAGCGGAGGAGAAGCACCTTAAAACATTTGGCCTCAAACGGCCCCACGACAATTACTCCCTCTTTAGGGTCCCTAATCCCTGCTGGAGCTCCAAAAGAAATCTAGGGACAGGGGTTCACGACCAAAAGAAAACAAAACAAAAGGTCAAGGAAACACAATTACCGGGCTTCTTCCCCGTTCCCCCTTTGGTCACAGCTCCTGTGTTGCACCAATCCCGGACCCGGGATACGGCCAAGCGGAAAACAGAGACAACCTTACAAATACAGAGACACAAAATACGAACTAAACTATCCTAACCTAATTGAAATTTAAATTCAAATTTAACTCCGGTAGGGCCCTCCACCCGGAACGGACTCACCGGACTAGCCCTTGGCGGCTTCGGCGTCGGAGCGGGCGGCACGCTGTCCTGGCGACTCTGTCCTGGCGCCTCTGGGTTCTCAACTCGGACGGCGCTGAAGCGGCGGCACGGGCGGTGCTAAGGCGGGGCACTGGCGGCGGCACTGGGCAGCGCGGAGGCGGTGTCCACGGATCGGCACTGAAGCGGCGGCACTGGGCAGCGCGGAGGCGGTGTCCACGGATCGGCACTGAAGCGGCGGCACTGGGCCGCGCGGAGGCGGTGTCCACGGAACGGCACTGAAGCGGCGGCACTGGGCAGCGCGGAGGCGGTGTCCACGGATCGGCACTGAAGCGGCGGCACTGGCGGTGCTAAGGTGGCGTGGGCGGCGGCGCTGCGGCTCCCAACTCGGACGGCGCTGAAGTGGCGGCACGGGCGGTACTAAGGCGGCACGCTGCGGCTCTGGGCTCTCAGCTCGGGCGGCGGCACTGGGCACCGCGGAGGCGGCGTCCACGGATCGGCACTGAAGCGGCGGCACTGGGCAGCGCGGAGGCGGTGTCCACGGATCGGCACGCGCGCACTCTCAGGCAGTCAACGGTTAAGATTTTTTTCCTTTTCGAAAAATAACCTCGCGCCACGTTTCTTTCCAAAAATTGACTCGCCGTTTCTTTTCTCCTGCACCTCCCTTTATTGCCTCCGTTCCCAAAGCTCCACGCCGTTACCTTTTTTTCTTTCCTCCTTGCCCTTCCGAGGGAAAGGGTAAAAAACCTTTCTCTTAAGCCTGCTTTGAAAGTTCCCGGTTCGCTCAGCTTCCTCCTCCCCCCTGGGACCACCGATCCTGCCTCTCTCTATCGATACATCGATAGCCTCTTCCCCTCCGAACTCCGAAATGCAACACAGCACGAAAAAAATTGTGGTCAAAAAAGTCGTATATGAAAATCGGACGACTGTCATAAAGCTGTCATACTATCATGAGATATAACCTATTAACAACAAGAAAGGAAGCTAACTTCGTCACGCCGAAGTTTATATACCCTTGCAGAAAGAACTTCGATGACTTGGAATCCATACAATATACATTTTATATATTTAACTTAAAAAACAATAAGGTAAAACCTCCTTTCATTTCATTCACCTATATATATTATGTTTACAGTTTTACATTCACAGATTTGCATTTTCCTCTACATCTACCGGTTGTTTGTATGGCACCTATATGATATAGTCGTCTGATTTTCATAAACTTTGACACGAAATTGTAGAGTAATATAAATTGGCTAAATCTCAATTTAATCAAATTCTGTTGAAAACTGAAAGAGTTATAATTTTTAATTGTATTAATTTCTCGATCGTTCCTATGGGAGCTGCAGGATATAGTAGTCCGATTTTTATAAAATTGAACACAAAATTGTAGAGTAGTATAAAATGGCTATATCTCAATTTAATCAAATTCTGTTGAAAAAGTTATAATTTTTAAATGTATTAATTTCTCGAGCGTTCCTATTGGAGCTACAGGATATACTACTTCGATTTTCATTAATTTACATTTACAATTTAATTTCATTCATTTACACATAATTGTAAAGTAACATATAATTGCAATACCTCAAATTTGATTAAATTCTGTTGAAAACTGAAAATTTTATAATTTTTTTTTTATTCTCCGATCATTCCTAGGGCAGCTATATGATATAGTCGTCCGATTCGGCCCGTTCCGGCCCGTTATATACGAGTAAGAGTATATAGAAGACTAACTACAATACAAAGTTTCATTCAGATAGTTTCAAAACTGACAGACTAGTTTGCGTAGAAACGGATAGACGGACAGAAGGACAGACGGACAAGACTAAATCGACACGGCTCCTGATCCTGATCAAGAATATACCTGCCTCCCTTAAAATTATGATACCCTGCAAGGATATAAAAATCAGGTCTTATGTATATATATAAAAATGCTTTGTTCGTGTCTACTTCCTTCATAGACTTGAAAAGTTCTGAACCGTTTAAGCCCAAATTTTTACACAGCATGCGTTGAGGTTCCAGCTCGGTTATTGTCTACTTTTGATGTTGATAGCTTATCTGCGGTTGCGAATATATCAAATTTTTTAGCGTTTCCCCGGTCCGAGGAATATATCCATTTGCGGGATGCTGTGATGAATGACCGTAATACAACCAACGTTGGAAAGCTCACGATTTTGCCATCCTCATACATAGGTAGTCCACGCCACATGCATGAATATGCTCAAGATGCCCAGGCATATGTTCGTTGCTACGGCCGTCCAGACTTATTTATCACCTTCACATGCAATCCAGCTTGGGACGAGATAGTGCAGCTGTTATTTCCTGGACAATCGTATATTGATAGGCATGACATCACAGCCCGTGTTTTCAGACAAAAGCTCAAGTCACTGATGGATTTCATTGTGAAACATGGAGTTTTTGGATCTGTGCAGTGCTGGATGTATTCAGTAGAATGGCAGAAGAGAGGATTGCCGCATGCGCACATACTGATTTGGCTGTATGATAATATTACTCCAGACGCTGAGATTCCACGGGCCGAGGTTGAAACGAATTTGCATGAAGTTGTCATCAAGAACATGATCCATGGCCCATGTGGTACCCTCAACCCATGTTCACCATGCATGGTAGACGGGAAGTGTTCCCAGCGATATCCTCGAGCATTTTCAGCCAACACCGTAACAGGGGACGATGGATATCCTCTGTATAGGAGACGGTCAACTGAAGATGGAGGGACTTCGGCAACTTTAAACATGAGAATTGGTGATATTGAGGTAGACAATCGTTGGGTGGTTCCATACTCACCACTATTGTCAAAATCATACAAAGCGCACATCAACGTAGAATATTGCAATTCCGTGAAATCGATTAAATATATCTGCAAGTACGTGAATAAAGGCAGCGATATGGCAGTTTTTGGTGTTCAGGCAGAAAATGGTGACAGCAATGCAGTACGAGTTGTCGATGAAATATCTCAATACCAGGCTGGAAGATACATAAGCAGCAACGAGGCTGCATGGCGAATTTTTTCGTTCCCAATTCATGAAAGCTATCCAGCTGTAGTTCACTTGGCATTCAATTTGGAGAATGGTCAACGTGTCTATTTCACAGAACTAAATGTGCAAGAAAGAGTCCTGAATCCGCCTACTACAACTCTGACTGCCTTCTTCACCTTATGCCAGGAAGATGCTTTTGCCATAACCTTGATGTATTCAGAAGTGTCCTCTTAACCACAATATGCCACAGAGGAACGTGGCAGGGTACAGCTTAAAGCTGAATTAATTTCAAAGCTTGTCCACTTGTGTATGTTTTGATATGCACTTGCACTTGTACCCTCAGCGTTTGAGTATAATTTGGTTATTTTTTAATTGGTTTCTAGTTGAAGTTGAGGCGGAAAAATACACTTCAGATCTCTATGCGAGTGAGACCGTGACTGTACATGAATTTTTATTTTCGTAAATAACTAATAACAATGTCGAATAACAAAAAATAACATTTCATTTATTTTGAACTCTTATTTGACTAACTTAGGTGTTGGAATACTATAATTTTAAATACCAGTCAAACTGTTATAACAAAAGCAAGCGAAGAAAAATTATGAGAAACAATATTTATACACGGTTTAATAATATTTAACCGGATCTCGATCTGACTTCAAACTGATCCCTTATATGTTAAAATAAATTAGTTTGAAGACAGGCCGAAATTCGTCAAATTTACAAACAAATTTTTATTTGTTTCGATTCAAGTGTAAGCGACTGTCAGACACCCGGTACTTAAAGCGTTGTAGAAAAATTAAAACGAGCATATTGCGAAATACAAAATAAAAATAAATGTTGCTAGGAATATGTTAAGCAATACCAATAGGTAATGCTAATAAAAAATTAGATGGTCCATGATGTTTATTACACACAGGAACATTATTGTCAAATAGCTGCAATGCTTAATCAATTTTAAAAAAGTAAGACCCATTAAAATTATTCTATAACAACTTTTTAACTTTTATAGCTAACCGTTTTTTTTTTATTTAATAATTTTAGAGCAGAAATGGCTCGGTCAAACTATACATTTCTGTGTCTCTTAAAACGTTTGTGTCACACGTACGGAGAAAAAAACATGGCTAAATTGGGATAAGCCTATTACAAACAATCTCGTTTGGCACTAAGATTTAATAATTAATTAAATAAAGCACAAACGCATTTATAAGTCAATTTCTAAAGTTTCTTGTGTAAGAAGCATTTGGTCGCTATGACTATCATCAACTAAAGATGAAAGATCATCGTTCATTAAACCTCCAGACAAGTCGGTGGAACTCTGCTGATCTTCACAAAGCGAATGTTGGGAAGATGAAGACAATAATAGGGAATCCTGATTATGTACATCTCTAAATTCAGAATTATGTACACAATCCGATAATCTGTGATGACAACTATCTTGTTTATGATTATGCAGGTTATTAAGATGGATATAGCACGATGTACAGTCAACCATACTTGTTTTGCTGCTGTTGCTTTTAAATACAACATTCTCCTCCGAAACACCGCTTTTTGGTTTAAAATTAGACGAATGTAACATCGATGACAGCATGTGACTTTGTGATGACAACATTGGGTCCCCACCTTGTACCGGATGCTTGCAATCCTCCATTAGTTCGTCAATCTGATTCATCCCCATATTTCCGTCGTTACTATTAATCTCCATGCGCTTTTAAATAAATAAAACATTTTATAAATACACTAAAATTAAACTGTAAAAAATAATAATTTCAGGACCCACTTTGTTTTCAGCAAGTGAACGACGACTTTGGGAAACATTTGGCGACAAACCTGAGCTTTTAAGATATGCATTGGCTTGGGTGGGCGCTGATACTGATACGGATGTTAATTGGTAATCGGAAATAGACTTGGCCTGCATTTCCAGATCCTTTAATAAAAACGATAATGATGTAATTTAAATTTGGTTTAAAATATATATTATATAAATATATATATATATATACTAGGAAACCTGGCGAACTTCGTTTCGCCACCAGATGGCTTCGTTTTATGAAACATTTCGTTTGATGATAAAAAATTAAGAAATTTTTTTTTTATATTTGAAAAGTAATGAAGTCACTTTAACTTTTTTACTTGCGCAGCACAATCCCGCCGTTTCTCTTTTGAACTTTAACGCATTGCAATATCGGTATATAGTCGTCATTGGTTCAATATCTAAATTTTCATTATCACTGTAGTTCTCCGTTGATGCCAATGATCTTCGTGTCCTCACGCGTTTTCTCAATAGGGCACTTTCTCTTATTATATTTTGTCTTTCTTCGTTTAAGTTCTGTGAATACACGTCGTCCTTTTATAACCTTAAATGCACGATCCACATAAATTATACATTTCAACTTACCACCTTAAAGACAAATGCCTACACTTTGTTTATTTTATTGTTTTTAATTGAAATGTTAGGAATCGACTACATGATATATTGGTTTGTAGTAAATGCTAAATATCAGCTTTTCTGTCCAACGGGATAAAAAGTATCCTTTGCCCGTCTCCTGGCTCTAAGCTACCTCCCTACCAATTTTCACCCAAATCGGTCAAGCCGCGGTGGATGTCTTGTCACAGATTACCACAGATTTTTTTGTTATCGATATGGTGTTACAGATTACAGATGACGTTGACATTCGTTACGCACGTTTTTTTTAAATATGCAAAATTAAATGTATATTTTTCAATCTTTCTGAGAGATTTTCTTAATATTCGTTTCCGTAAGAACCTTGTACAGAGTATTTAAAAACTAAAAAAAAAAAAAAAATCAGCCAAATCGGTCAAGCCGTTTTTATGTTATGTGGCGACAACGAAAAACGGGTTTCATTTATATATATATATAGATTAATAGATTAATGTATTCAAACATTTTACCTTTATTCGGGTCATAAGTTTACGATTTTGGAGCTCCACTTGCCGCTGCCGGCACTCGTTTTGCCTTAGACGTGCTACCTCATGTTTTAAACATTTAATGTAGTCAACGGAAGACTTCAAAATGGTCCCCTTATTTGGACGAATATCGCGAACCACTTCATAAAAGGCCTCACTACCCTTTGGCAAAAGGGTGCCGAGCTCCTTGATTCGGTCATTAATATTAAAACGTCGTCTCCGCTCAACTGAGAAGGGTTTGAAATTTGAATTATAATAATTTAAATTAATAATTTATATATATATATTTGAATACATATACTTACTCATGTTATGATTATCCTTCTTTTGTCGATCCTTCTGCATTGCATTTATTTCGGCGTCCGTTAAACTTTGTGGCTCCTGCTTAATTGAGAGCTCCGAATTAAAGTTTTGATCAAAGTTAAATGAGTCGTTTTGTAATATATCGTCAAAAAGATCATCTGGCTAAAACGAAAACCATTTTTAATATATTTAATATATACTTAATGTTGCATTAAAAACACAAAACACCCTACTTCAAAAATGCATCTAAATTTAAGGGCGACTTGGTTTGATAACTTTCTTTAATCATTAATAATAATACTTACATCGCTGTCAAACGAGGGCAGCTGTAAAAGTACAAACCAAATAATTATTATTAAATATTGAAAAGAAAACGATTAAATTATAATACTCTTGACAATGGTATAATTAAATCTGTAACTTACTTCTGATGCACTAGTAGCTACCGAGCTTAAGCTGGGTGATATGGGTGCCGATGTGGATTGCAGCGAGCTTCCGGCACTTCTTATAGAATTCATATTCCCGGATGAAAGACGTGGCGCCTTAGCAAAACCAAACTGATTAGTTTTATTAACAATTGGTGGGATTGATTCTCCGTTGGCGTTATTATTAATACTTCCGAATAAATTATTTGCTTCATTGGGATTACATTTATCACTTCGTAAATAATTAGAACCAAATGGTGAAATTTGCATTGCATCGTCGGCAGAAAGTTCATTTGTACTGTGTTTAACATTCATAGCTATATCACATTCTAAGGAGGAAGTCTGCTGCAGATTGTCAGCAGATGCAGAGTTATTTGTCATTTTCATCTATTTATATTATTGAAATATACATATATTATAATATAACTAGCTAAATAATATTTATAATACCTCACTAACATCGCCGTTGTTGCAGCCCCAAATAGAAGGTTTAAAAGATTCACTCAAATATTGCCGCACTTGATTCTTCTGCTTTTGTATGACATGATATCTTGTTGGATTTTCTAGCACTGTACTAACCTACGTTCCAGGACAAAAGGTTATGTAGAAAATACCTTGCATTTATTATCATTAATCTCACCTGCAGCACTTGCGGCGGTACATCTACTCCAATGCTTTGAAGAGGCACTTTTACTTTAACAGGACTTAAGCGATCCTTTTGCACTAATTGTAACATCTGTTCCAAACTCGATGATCCGCTTCCACAGGCGCTTGTGCTACAACTATCTATATATTCCGTGTCAGTTGATCCCAACATCAATTGCATTTTTGAATCTGAGTCCAGAATTTGTTGTTGCATTATCATCTGTTGCTGTTGTTGTTGCTGATGTTGCTCTCGTTGTAATTGAAGCTTCAGCTGCGTTCGGGAGGTGGGTGTGGCAGTTTTAAATGTGGGTCTGTAAATGAGTTATTATAGATAAGTAATAGGTTAATATAAACTATTTTTATCTTGGAACATATGCATATGCAGACTGCAATGATGTAAACTATTGTACCTACCCACCCGAAAGTGGAGGCAGACCCACTATACGCGGTTCTATAGCTTCAATGTCATCAAAATCAACAATACTTGGATCCATTTCTAGAATCATTTCCAAGTCTTTATCGATGCCAACTGTGATACGGATATTTTTGGTAGATTCTCTGTAAATCTGTGATGACAGCGGCATCGATAAAGGGTGTAAGGATCTCATGTTCATATTATCGTTTTCAGAACGAATTGTGGTTAAAGGTTCCTCGCCAACTTCGATTGCCATCGAGCTTTGATTACTTTCTTCGTCATGTTTTTCGTTTTGTGACATCTGTAATGTCTGCACACGCTGTAAAAAGTCTTGGAACTCTAGGATACGTTCTGAATCTGTATCTGTAGTCATATTTTGTCTATTAATTTTTTCTGCTGGTGATGGTGTCATTTCTGGATATAATTCATTTTGTTTTTCCATACTTTTTTTACTCCAGTATGAGAACATGGCTTCTTTTTAAATTATCGCTAGACAAAATTCCAAATATGTAATACAAAAGACCTTGATCTTAGCAAACGAATGTCAGAGAAACTGTTCGCTTAAACTAAACATGCTTTCCCCGCAAATATACAGAGCATATTATGCATCGAATTTTTAAGGTTTCATCATTTTTAATTCTCTCCCAAATATTTATATTATGTATAATGTGTAATGCTATATAAATGTTTAGTAACTACCGAAATTCAGTTATATTAAAAGCAATTTATTTCTTTAAAATACATCAAATTGTTTATCGACTTCAGCTTTTTAAACATACATAATTAGTTTTTTGCGAGAGAAATGCTGCACTTATAAAAACCACCTTACACAGTTTTACCCATTAATTTATTATTTACATATGGACATACATACATAAGTACGAACTTTCGATGTATTAGAGTAAACACAAGCGCATCAGAATTTTTATTTTGTTGTGTGAAAGAACACTCCATGTACATATGCATATACATATGTATATATATGTAGGTACTTATATTTATATACATATGCATAATATTCAAATAAAACAGGATGTGCCTAAATGTTATTATGACATACAAATGTTTAATTTATTTACGCCTGTATTTTTAATTACAATTTCATTTTAAGTTTAATTAAAAAAGGAAATTTCGTATCAAATACTTAAAAACTCCAACATTCTTTAAATTAGTAATTAACAAGAAAGGAAGCTAAATTCGGCACGCCAATGTTTGTATACCCTTGCAGATTGCAATTGGATCATTAATAATTACAATAAAATACAATACAATACAATACAATATAAATTATATATATACATATGTATGTATATAGAAATTCCTACTTTCATTTCAGTAACCTATACGTATTACGTTTACAGTTTTATCTTTTTACGACTATTTCTCAAATTTGATGAAAAAATATGGAAAACTAAAAAAATTTTAAATGTCTAATTGTATTAATTTCGTGACCGGTCCTATGGCAGCTTTATGATGTAGTCTTCCGTTTTTCATTCAATTAAAAAAAAAAAAACTTTTTAGAATAATATAAAATGACTATCTCAAATGTAATAAAAAATTTGTTGAAAACTGAAAAAGTTAAAATTTTTTCTAAAAAAATACATACATACATATATGAGAGATAGTGTATAGAAGACTAAGTGTAAAAATTCGTTCAGATAGCTTTAGAAGTAGAAACGTAGAAACGGATAGACAGATGGACGACGGTCATGGCTAGATCGACTCGGTTGTTAATGTTGATCAAGAATATATACACTTTATATGGTCGGAGATGATTCCTTCACAGCGTTTCAAACTTCTGACTGAAATTCGAATACCCTGCAAGGGTATATACATATATATACATATATATATGTATATGTAGTATATATGTATATCCATATACACAAACATACATATATGTATATGTACATATCTACGTTTTCTTGATAAGATTATAAAATTGCGCTAATCAAACATCAAATAACGATGCTTGCACGCACATTAATATAAATATCTACTCATTTATTATCTATAGCTCTATGTGAACTTTTTGTAATTTATATTCTAAAGGTCTACATATTTTACAGATACATATGTTATATGAACATATATTTACTTACATTTCATTGGATCGTAAAGACCGTGTGGATGATTTTAGTTCATAAAATTCCATATCTGAACTGCCCGCTACAGTAACATTTGGTAGAAAATCCAAGGTTTCGTTTTCATTCAGCAAACTTATATTTAAATCGAACTCGATATCAAAACCCAGATCGACTCCAGATTCCGTCATTGTATTTGCTATTGGAAAGCCACTTAACAAACACACATTTACTTATTTTTTAATTAAACTTGGATTTATTCTGCAATTTTTTTTTTAATTTTCAATACATACATAAACCAATCGAGATAAAAGATATATTTTTCGGAATGACTACCCAAAAAATTTCATAACACGAACCGATGAGCTTTTAATAGCGGTGAGAAAAGAAAAAACAGTAAGTGATCGTGATAGCACGAATAGAGGAGGGTAAAATGATAGTAACGAGGATTAAATATATCGTCTTACTTCAATTGATTAAATCATAATTAATAAATAATTTTGATTTGAAGTATATTTAATTTAATATGTGCTAAAAAATACCTAAAACCTTATTTATTATTATAAAATTTTGAACTGTACATATATGTAGTTATAGAAGTAGTTTATTCTTGATAGCGTTTGAAAAACAGAAGACAATCAAATGATCGAATTTGAACAGATCAGCAAATTTAATCAATAGTTATAAACGATAATATAATTTAAAAATATTACATATTGAAATACATTTAAGTATTAAGTAACTTAGTAATAATAAACAAATTTAACATTAAAGAAAAAGAAAACAAACATTAATTAATGTATGTTAATAATTATAACTAGTTCGATTTCCATATTTAATACTCAAACAAACGGTTTGTATATTTTGACCGTCTGAGCATATATACTGTTAATGGTGCGAATAAGCTCTTTTGAACTTCGGGTAAACTGTTATCGATATTTTAAAAATGTTGAACATATCGATTGTGTTTGATGAAAAAATTTATGTAAACCAGAATTGTTTTCCTTTGAGAGCAAGTGGTACTGTTATAGGTAAAAAACATATATTTCTATCTTATCCTCATCATACATTATTGCCAATATAATTGTGTATTTACTTCCTTTTTTATTATTATTTTTACGATAGTAAGTTCATAGACAGCAGATCCTTCACGAAAAATGTATGAATATACGAAAAAAGCAAAGTGCACTTCTGTATAGATATATGTATATGTATTATCTACTGAGTTGTATATACTTGTTGTATATACTTTTTACATACATATGTTTATGGGTGTTGTCTTGTTTTAATTCTTTTGCTCTCGTTAATAATTAAATATGCATTTCTTATTTTGCAAGAAAACATGGATAAAAAGATCTCATCGATATCGCAGCCACGCATTTTAAAAAAAAAACATTTTCGAGTGAAGCATCAAAAAGTAAAACTTTTTCGTGCCAATGAACCGATTTTGAGCGTATTTATGTGGGGAATTAATCACACTGTACGTTAATACATACTTCAAATACCTAAAGGTTTTTAAACTGTATAACATGAACAGCATTTAACTACAACATTTAACAGATCAATGAACTAAGTCATGTAAACATTCCTGTAATGCTGCTGCCCGATGACTTTCGAGCTTATTCCAAAATTAAGGTGGATAATCATCTATTTAACAAGTAAGCAAATAAATTCGTTCTTAATTTATTTTTTTTAACTTTGAATTATATTTTTATTTTAGGGAAAATATGCCGTCACATTTTAAAGTGAAAGAATATTGCCCCCTTGTATTTCGAAATTTGCGCGAAAGATTTGGCGTGGATGATGTTGACTATCGTGAGTCCTTAACACGTTCGCAGCCAATACAAATTGATTCCTCTGGAAAGTCAGGTGCACAATTCTATCAGAGTTATGATAAGTTTTTCATAATCAAAAGTTTAACATCAGAAGAAATAGAGCGTATGCACGCATTTTTGAAGCAGTATCATCCTGTGAGTTTTGCATTCTTAATAATGATACAAAATTGATTTTATTTCCAATTATCAGTTCGTTGTTGAACGGCATGGCAAAACCCTATTACCGCAATATTTAGGCATGTACCGGATAACTGTGGAAAGCGTGCAATATTATTTTGTGGTCATGAGGAATGTTTTCAGCTCTCACTTAACAATTCACAAGTATGGAAAATATATTTAGAAAAGTTGACGTTGCGATATTATTCTATATATGTTGTAAAGCAAATAAAACATTTATTTTATAGAAAGTTTGATTTGAAAGGTAGTACCGTGGATCGGGAGGCATCGGAGAAGGAGCTTGAGAAACATTTGCCAACCTTAAAGGATAATGATTTTATCAAACAAAAAGTTAAATTGGATATCGGAAAGGAAGCAAAACGGAAGTTAATGGATACGTTGAATAATGATGTGGACGTGAGTATTTTTTTATATCCTTTTTTCAACCCCAGTAAAATAAATAGTTTTTTTTTTTTATATAGTTACTGATCAAGTTGCACATTATGGACTATTCGTTATTAGTCGGCGTACATGATTGTGTGCGGGCCGAGGAAGAAGCTCTCCAAGGCGACAATGTAGCAGCAGCTGGTCGGAGTGAAAATAGCGAGAGTGAGGAGTGCGATAGTGGTGAACGGTTAGTAATCTTATTATTATTTTCTTTGTAATTATCGGAGTGTAATATTCTTCAAGCTGGACGTACAATACTCCGCCTGATTCACCAAGGGGTGCACAGTATAAAGAAGTCATTTATGAAGTTGATATCTATGACATTCCGAGTATTGAAGGTGAGAGGAAAATTTTAAATTAGTTTTATTTCTTAACAATTTATTTTTTACTTTGCAGAAAAACGAGAAATATACTTTATAGCTATTATAGATGTTTTAACACAATATGGCGTTAAGAAGCAGGTATATATCATATAAAATATATTTTATTAATTCGTTAATTTTTAACTTTTATTTTCAGGCAGCGAAAGCAGCTAAAACTGTTAAGTATGGGAGCAATGTTGACGGTATATCAACATGCGACCCTGAACAATATGCCAAACGATTCTTGGAATTCATGGATAAAGCTATAGAATAAAATACTTATCATTGTAACCATTATATTGTATTTGCCACATTCAAAATGTCAGAAAATGTTATTATGTACTAAAATATAAGTTATTTTAACACTATTATTTTGTAATCTCCTTGAAAGGAATATATGTTAATTATTATTTTTAAATAGCCATCCGTTAAAAAATTACTACTAAAATTGATAAAATTTCTTTATTAATAAATAATGTTTTTTTTTCAGATCAAATATTTTACATATGTGATATGTGATTGCTAAAATTTTGAAAGCTGGGAGGATCGGATCATTTCCAGGATTTGTGGTCATATAAAGCCCTTCTCAGTTCTTAAGACATTGAGATTACTGTAAATTATACATGTTATTAAATAATAAACCGAATATTTTATAACGAACATACAACAAAACGATTGATTTGAGCTCTGTGTGCATTGTTTTCCATTTGTGTTTCTTCGTTTATCTTCATATTTTCAAAGCGTTCCCGAATTCTAAAAATAAAGAAGTCATCAAACTTTTTTTTCAATAATTTGTATAAGATCTTACATTTTGGCACTTTCTATAGAATCACTAGAAATGAGTTGTGAGTAAACAAGTTCACGATCTTCTCTTAGTTCACGTTGTATTTCATCGGCTTGCCATTTTTCAAATTTGGCACACAATTGTTTAGCACGAGCTGTGCTCTTTGCCTGTTCATTGGAGTGAGTTAATTTATATTGAATTATATTTTTCTCAAATAAATCTATATATATAAAAATGCTCTGTTCGTGTCTACATCCTTCATAGACTCGAAAAGTTCTGAACCGTTTAAGCCCAAATTTTTACACAACATGCGTTGAGGTTCCAGCTCGGTTATTGACTACTTTTGATGTTGATAGCTTATCTGCGGTGGCGAATATATCTATTTTTTTAGCGTTTCCAAGTGCCCCTACTGCTGCGCCATCTACAGGCAGCCAGCTGAATCAAAGCATTTCCTGTCAAACATTCAAAACATATTGAAAGAAGAAACTTGAAAAGTTCTGAACCGTTTAAGCCCAAATTTTTAGAGAACATGCGTTGAGGTTCCAGCTCGGTTATTGACTACTTTTGATGTTGATAGCTTATCTGCGGTTGCGAATATATCTATTTTTTTAGCGTTTCCCCGTGCCCGTACTACTGCGCCCTCTACAGGCAAGTCAAAGCATTTCCTGTCAAACATTAAAAACATATTGAAAGAAGAAATTGGAGATACAAATTTTATTTTTTGTTCAGGTTCAGTAAGAAACGAAGTCATGCCACCAAAAAAGTCGAGATTGGGTCGTTGTATTCGCAATACAGAAGCAAAAAGACGTAAGATTACGAATATGACTGACGAAGAACGGGCCTCCTTCCGAGAGACTGAGCGGCTGAGAGCAATGCATGGGAACGCGTTAATATTGCTCGCAGGGGATTTCAGACAAACGTTGCCTGTGATTTCCCGATCGACACCAGCTGACGAGATAAATGCTTGCCTGAAATATTCTATATTGTGGAAACATGTACGTACATTACAGTTGAAGACGAATATGCGTGTCCAGTTACAGAACGATGACTCAGCCGACGTATTCTCACGACAGCTACTGGACATTGGGAACGGAAAGCTGCCAGTCAATGAGACGTCGAGAAAAATAGTATTGCCCGGGAATTTCTGTAATTTAGTTACATCGAAGGAAGAACTTATCCAAAAAGTGTTCCCCAATATCCGAATAAATTATAGGAATCACGATTGGCTCAGTGGACGAGCGATTCTCGCTGCCAAGAACAAAGATGTCTACCAGCTCAATCATGTAATCCAAAAAAGCATAGAAACTGACGAAATTACATATAAGTCGATAGATACCGTTGTGGAGGCAGAGGAAGCAGTTAATTACCCTACCGAATTTCTAAACTCACTTGATCTGCCTGGAATGCCACCACACATATTGAAATTAAAAATAGGTGTGCCGATTATCATGCTCCGGAATATAAATCAGCCGAAACTCTGCAACGGTACGCGACTCGCAGTCAAGAAATTGATGAACAACATAGTAGAAGCGACGATCATAACGGGTCCATTCAAAGGTGAAGATGTCCTCATTCCTAGGATTCCTATGATCCCGACAGATACACCGTTCCAGTTCAAGAGATTGCACTTTCCCATTCGTTTGGCGTTTGCAATGACCATAAATAAAGCTCAAGGTCAATCTCTGGAGTTGTGTGGTCTGGATTTGGATGAAGATTGTTTTTCACACGGACAATTATATGTTGCGTGTTCACGAGTCGGAAAACCAAAAAGTCTTTATATTTACGCGGAGAATGGAGAAACAAAGAATATTGTATACCAACAAGTATTACAGAATTAAATTAATTTGAAAATGATTATTTTTTGTTTGACTTATTTCTTATGCGTTCAACCACAATATGCCACAGAGAAACGTGGCAGTCCATTTGGAGAATGGTCAACGTGTCTATTTCACAGAAAAAAATGTGCAAGAAAGAGTCCTGAATCGGCCAGCGACAACTCTGACTGCCTTCTTCACCTTATGCCAGGAAGATGATTTTGCCAGAACCTTGATGTATTCAGAAGTGCCCTCTTAACCATAATATGCCACAGAGAAACGTGGCAGGGTACAGCTAGTAAATAAATAATTTTTAAAAACTGTTTTCTTATTGAATCTTACCTCTTTAAGTGACTGATCCATGTTACGTGATTTGCTTGAATTTTCACTATCAATTTCTTTGTCGTCCTCACTATCTTCATTAGTATTTGTATCATCTTCGGTAAAGCTTTCCTCATCTTCGGAATCTGATTTATTATTACTTACATGTTTATTATTCTCTGTTTCTGGTGGAGGAGTAAAGCACTTCAAAGGTTTGGGTTGTTTCATTATGTCATTTTTATCAACATTTTTATTTTCTTCCATTTCACGGAACTTGTTTAAGATTGTTGATGTCGTTTTGGTTTTTAGCAAAATATCCTCGGGAATAAAACTTTGTTTTGTAGATGATAAAATATCCGTATCAGTGTCTGAATCCATTTTAACAACACCTTCTCGTGGTGGTGTTATGCGAAAAATATGCCTTTCCTTTTCAACTGGACAAAATTTTTCAAAAAATTTAAACCTCTCTGTCAACTCTTCGGTGGCAACTCTAATATATTCGGGTTTGGCGCCAGATTTTATGATATCCATGTCGTTATCGACATCCTTTTTTTATTTTTAAGAAACAAATTAATCAAATGCTTTTTGAAACTGAAAATATTTTCTTACCTTTTTATTAAGTTGAATTAATTTTTCTGTTGGATTACTTGAAACGGTGCTTCTTAAGCTGACTAGATTCGAAGCATTGTTTGCGTCCATTTGCATAAAAATATTACGCGAAGCTTTGCTTATAGCTAAAATATTAAAAAATATATTAATAAGGTAAAATACTCTATTATTATACATTTTAATTCTTACCAGATTCAAAGACTTCTGCGTCTTCAATAGCTTCTTTAGATTGTACTTTTATATTTTCCTTAAAAGCTTCACCATTTTCAAAACGATCTTTGATAGATTGTGTGGGTGTAGTCAATTCAATATCTGCGGTTTTCCCAGCTGAGGTAAGGCCCTGTTCAGATTCTGCAACTGCTTGTTGATACATTTCTTTGATTTTCGCCTGTTTGCCCATAAATAATCGAGAGCGTATTCCTTGTATCTCATGTTTTCGCTCTTCTCGTCTCTCTTCTTTTGTAATCATTTCACCGTTCTCAAACTTAGTTCTTATATCGTTTATTGCTTCTCCTAACCCCAAAGGCTTTTCTTTTTCTGTTAATATCATTCGAGAATAATCATCGTCATCTGAGTTATCGTCTAAATTTATATCATTATTTTTTTCCAATTCTTCAGATTTGAAGTTGTTAATCCCAAGTTTATGAAGTTTGGTTAGCGTTGATCTTATCGACTTTCCATGGGTTATGGCGGTTCCTTGAGAATTATCTTGTGAGTTATTATTATTTCGAGACCAAGCGCCATTTTCAAAAACCTCAAATCTGGATCGGACATTCAGTTGTTGGAGTTCGTCAAGTCCCAGATTTGGTTTATCAGATGCTGTAATATGTTAATATTAATTTAAAATAGTAATTCAATTAACTTCGGCCACTCGCTTTGTATTGTATGGAAGATAAAAATCTAAATTTACAGTATAAACGGTTTGCCGACGATTTTCGTCCATTTCAAAGTATTTTACCTCTGGCAACGTCCGGTGGCAATTCCATTGGTTGATTCTCACGTATTATAAGTTCTGGTTTTCGTGGCTTAATCTCTTCATACACTACCTTTGGTGCAAATAGTAATTTGAAATGCCTATGGCAGTAGAGATATCCATCGTGAGCATGATAAGTGTCTAGTCTGCTCAAAATATTATATTTATAAAAATTAAAAAATAAAAATATTTTGTCTACTTACTTTAATTGTTTTGAGCAGTCCTTGCAACGTAAACATGTTTTATGGAATATCTTTGTACCCGTTTTCAAATGCAGAATAACTTCCTCCATTTTGTATACCGATTGTTGACATTGATGGCAGTTGTCCAGCTGCTGCTGAGTCATGGGAGTCTAATAAACATTACAGTTTTATAAACACAACAAAATAAGAATTAAATATATTCTTTAGTAATTTCTTTTTTAATTGCTTTGATGCTTGAATCTCTTGAACGTACGTGGATATGGCTTCGCTTCTGCAGATCATCGAATTTACTGAAGCTCATTTTCTGAAAATAAAGCCATGACGTTTATAATTTTTCAAAAATAAAATGATAAAGTTTAACTTACCATGTTTATATTTTGCTTGTCATGGCTGTCAGTTGCTTTGTTTTTTTTACTCTTGCTTTTCTTCACTTTGGTTGATTTTATAGGTTCCATGGCCTTCTTTGAGTTGTTTATAATATTTGATTACTAAAATAACCAAGCCATATTTATTATACTTGCCAAGAAAATTATTTTTAAGGGGGACAATGCTTTATTAACATATTAAATGAACTACATACATATATAATCGGTTTATACTGTTTAAGCATGTACAAATATACATATGTACGTATGTATGCGTGTGTGAATATACATACATACATATGTATGTATATGGTGAAAAGTGAAACAAGAAAGTTTACATATATACATAAAATGTAATTATATCACAGCGTTGAATAAATAAACATCTATTTATGATACTTTATTGAATTCGGAATAATTTAAAAGCAATTTATCTAAATCCGTACTTTGGCATACAATTTTTACTTTATACGTTTGTACAATGTGTATATACATATGTATGTATGTAGGTACATGTATCTACATAAATATCTATGCATACACACTGATCTGAATTCCTGAAGCAATAGGAATTTATACATATTTTTGGCACCCGTACAAAATCTAGGCATAACTTTTCATTCATTCAGATCTCAACCATAAAAAAACTATCTATTATAGTCCATTTATTATTTATACCCGGCCTTTTTATAAAAATAACTTTTTTGTAACCTAAATATTTTGTTAAGCAATTAACTTGTTATTACGCACACAAAAAATTTTTTTTTGAAATATCAATCTGTGTTCGAAGAGGTAACAACAGAGACTGATTTTAGGTATTTTATGTATACGGATAGCGTTTTTCAGTGTTGCCAAATTTAAAAACAACGCAATGTTCTTTTTTAAGTGCGTAATTGCGCTTTACTATTTAAAATAAGAATTGTAGGTATAATAAAGTTTAGGAAAAATTTAGTTGTTGAGGTAAAAATAATATTATTATTATAAAAAATAATATAATTTTCAGTCCACAAAATAGAAAATATTTCAATTATTGGACCGAATTCATCTTTTACATTGTGTTTATGTACATAATTGAAGTCAATGCATACATAAATTGGATGCATTCTTTTAGTTTGCGTTGAAACAAACAGTGATGGTGCTCCCCTTCCCAAAGTATATAAAAAATTATTACCCCAAAAAAATTATAAAATACACATTTCTAAGAACATTTAAGAAAATGGTCCAACAAAAACTCGAAGGTCTTTCCAACTTTCTTTAAAGGTGTAAATTTTATTACAAAGTAATTATTATTACATATATTTTTTTTTGTCATTTTTAAAAATTATTGAACTAAGCACATCGCATTTTTCATTTTTTTTTTTTTTTTTCAACTTTGACCATTATTTAAAAAATAGATCCTCATTTATCGATGTTCTCCTTCTTTTTTGCTTAAAATATTAATTATAACCTGAAATAATTAATATTTCATCGTTAGTTAAAATTTTTATATATATAATTGATCGAATTGAAATCCTGAAAAATAGATCGGCTTACAATACAAATTTCAGTCTGCATAAACTACGAATGGTACATTATTTTCAGATAATGATACACTATCTAGTACTTCTGCCTTAATGTAATTTGTAGGTTTTTCTTCACTTGGGCTGCTTTTACGCGTAATGCTGGAAGTATTCCTCCTTAAATATAATAAATTTATAAATAAAATATCATTTGAACAAATTATTTAACATACTTAGCTTTAGCATGAGTTAATATGTGAGATTTTAAATTTGTGGATTGAGCAAACTTTTTATTGCAGGCATCAAAGGGACAAACAAAAGGTCTGTCGCCTGTATGAATTCTCACATGGGTTCTGCAAAAAGTTTGACAATATTTGATTATTTTCAACTTCAGTTTAACAAAAAAAATTTATTGACGGTTGTGGTAGGGTACACGGGTTACATTTACCTTAAGTTGAAATCAAGGGAAAATCGTTTACCACATCCTTCGAAAGTACACTGAAATGGCTTTTCTCCTGTGTGAACCAATTGATGTCGTTTTAGTTTTGAGCTCTCCACAAAGGCTTTTCCGCACTCCGCACATACATGTACACGGGGTCCGTGTGTGTGCAGATGCTTGCGCATTGCCGATGAATCTCTGAAGTTTTTATGGCAGCCTTTATGAGGACAGGCAATCTTTTTCTCGTTTTGATACGTTAGGATGTTACCATCGGAATGCTTAAAGTTAAGATCAGATCCAGACGGTGTTCCTTTTTGTATTTCATTATTATATGTTTTTAATTAAGGTAAAAGAATTCAAAAGTAGTAAAACGAGACTTACCAAAGTTGTTGTTGTATGCAGATAAGTCATTATGTACCCTTTTCTGTAAGCCAACACCAAAAAACGGCACCGAAGTACTAGTCGAAGTCGAACTTGAAATTGGCTGACAAGTATTATTATCACTTTTTAATATTCTTTGATTATTATCAATGGATAGTGCTGTTTCATTAATTAACTGAAGATTGCTTGAAGAATTTGTAACCTGTAAGACTGTATTTTCGACCAAGTTCGTAGACTTATTAAGGATATTTTTAGTGGTTAGATTTTTAACATCTTCAATAATCTGTGTATGAATTTCTTGCGGTTCATGTATGGACATCCTTTGGTTTAAAAAGGACTCATCATCTTCGTTGTCCTCTCCTTTTGTTAACAATTCTGATTCAGTAATATTTTGGTCTGACCCGGAGTAATCATCATCGTCGGATATACCCGAAGCCCACATGGTAACACTAAATTCTCCCTCCATGGTTTTAATTTGAACGAGCTTCTGTTCCCACCTTCTTGATTTTCCCGATGTATTCAGTATGCTTGTAGAATCTATGCAAGTGATTTTGTTACTGCTTGCCAAGCTACAACTATTAGGCATATTGTTTGATATTTCATCATATTCTTCGGCATAAGCCGTATTTTTAATACTATTATTGATATCCATTTGAATGCCCATCTGCAGGTGTTTGTTTCTAAAAAAAAATAATTGTAAGGAATTAAAATGTATTTATATTTTTGAAATAAATAAGAACGTACATTTTGGTCATGAATTCATTTTCCGCTGACGACTTCAAATTCATTTTTTCATGTTGATTAGTGGTAATTACTTCATTCTGAATAACTAGAATAATTACTTAATTAAAAAATTTGTTTTTATATACTGTAATAATTGGTTGTTATGTACATATATATGTATGTACATATGTAAGTAACTGTACACTTAAAGTTACCCTGCAGTACACATGTCATCAAAAGTCATCAACGCGCCGACTGCGTCTTCTACCGGGCCGACGCAATGCCCACGATACATATAGGATAGGACATGCCCATGATAAATTTATAAACAATTTGTATGGCCATTAATCGATGAATCATCAACTACACCGCCTTGACTGTTGATGAATCGTTGATTAATTACTGATGAATGGTACTGCAGGGTAGCTTATAAATACATATATTTGTATATATACTTATACATATATGTATACGTATACGTATGTATTTATGCTCTTACAATATAATATTTACAATATACATACATACAAACACATTAGGAAAAATACTTGCCATGACTTATGTTTCCAATATTTACACTTTGTATGCCTCCTGGTTGGATTTGTACATCATCCCCATATTGCTCATTTTGAAAAAGTATGCCAAACCGTTCGTGTGCCATGCTTTTTAGATGATTTTATTATTTCGAAGTTGTTCTTTACATTTCAAGCGCACATTTATTTGAAGACACGTACAAATGTGTTGGGGCAATATTTTATATAAATTTATTTTTTGAGTGTTTTTATGATCTGTAGAAGTTTGTATATATGTATGTAATTTTTACATTGTTTAAATCTAAGAGGGTATACATTAAAAAACTTACATATTTATTGTTATATATTAAAATTTTGTGTAAATACAAAACCAGATTAAATGCGTTTCGTTTTAGAAAGTAAATGTTTCATATAAAAAAAGTTTTGAACACAAATTAAACAATCTACATTACTTCATACATATATATATATATATATATATATATATATATATACGTATATTGCTTGCTTTGTCTTCTATTAACAACTTATGTCCATTTGAATTTTCACAAACAATTCAATATTCACATATGAATTGTGTTGTTAAAAAGCGAAACAAAACAAAAATGCGCAAGAGTGGCATAGAAAACTAATAACAGTTAAAATAGTGATGTACATATTTTCTACAAGCAAACAAATGTTGTTATAAAATACCATTTATAGTATTTTTTAAAATTTAAATAGATGTATTCCACTGCTGTTGCGTTTCTACGTTAGGTACAGTACGGGGTGGTAAAACAGTTTATTCTTTTAAAGTGTGACCGCTTTTTCTAAATGGAGGTCAAAGAAAGGTTGCGGTTAACGCAACGAGCCTTATCAATCAATCAAAATCAATTCGAGAATCCCGCTGTTGCTCCTGTTAAAGAGCTTACCTAGTATTTATTCTTGACTCCTAACTCCTAACTGTATCTTTTTACATCTTTTACAAATGATGTGCAATGCGGCTAAGCTTAATTAAGTCACAATTTTCTCTAAATTCAATCACAAGCATCAAAATTAATCAATTCGGGTATGGCAAATAACAAATAAATAAAATTCGAACAGTAACACTAGCACGTTTACTTATAATAAAATAAAAATTAATCCTCCGGATCCATCGGTAAAGCATTTTTTAATATTTGATTTTATTATTGTTTTAATAAATTATCTTTAGAATTCCATATCATGTAGAATCGTTTCTTGATCTCGATCATCATACGAATTGTGATTAAAAAACGGGGCTTTTCCAAATGTCAAATTACTCGTTCCATAATAATGCTACATATGTATATATTTTGTTGGTGGCATTCAATCAGTGCAAACAATAGTGGATTGTCTCGGAGTAGCTCTATACGTTAAATTCGGAAGCAGATTAAAAAAAAAAAAACGGAAGCGGATTTTGAAGCATATCATTATGCTACACACGATATTTTGAGTAACATTTTGGAGAAATTAAGACGTGATCTAACACCTCAAAACAATATTAAGGCGGCCGTTCAAGCAGCAGATACGTCCGAGAAAAATCTGAGCCTGACTGAATGCCAAAGATTTCATTATTTGAAATCATATTTCACATTAGCTAAGCATATTTCGGATACGAATGAAAAATATTGTGAGGCATGGGATCGCTTGGAACAGCAATAATATAAATATTCGATTTTTACCCAGATATCCATAAACGATTTATGATGCTTCCGAGTGCAAAAACCCCTAGCATCAGCACTGCGTAAACTTGCCGATGATGCTGATGAAGTTATAGGTTGTTTACGTGCTCATAACTGCCAAGCGCGGAATCCCAGGCTTATTTTCATATTATTTTCGAAATTGGATACCAATTGTTGCATCATTGTTGCACCAACGATCCCGAAGATCCCACATTTTGTTGCCACCCACACTCGTAGTGCGGGGTATCTACTCAAACAGAGAGCACATCCTATTGGCTAAACCTTACCGCAGACCATAAAGAGCTTCTTCTCGGAAGAACGCTAAATTTGTCGGTCTCCGTAATTTAAAAAGGAACACGATGAAGCGTTTCTGGACGACTACTTGCAACGTGGACATATGGACCAACTGACATCAGTTCAAGTTGACGAGTGCCCAGAAACTTGCTTCTACCTACCGCACTAAGCTGTCATCAATCTGTACAGTTTGACTCAGGGCGGCCGCCATTTTGGAGCGGTCCGCCTTTAGCGACATCGAACGAGGAGACCTCATGTAATGGGGTCGGGTCGGTGCCCTATCACGGTGTCGGTGGGTACAGCGCGTCGTGCACGCAGCCGCCACCTTGCAGTGGGCCGCCGTTCATAGTAAGCACTGCGCAGACAGCGCATGGATTCACACTACCGGGTGTGAACATCTAACGACACGAGCGTACAACTGCACGGATTCGGAGAACAATCAGAGGTTGTTGAAGGCGCTAAAGAATGACGCTCGTGACGCAGTGAAGTCGCAATTGATTCATCCAGGGAATGTCAGCGCCGTGATGGAGCAGCACCGCTTTAGGTTTGGCCGACCGGAGCAGCTAATACGCAGTAAGCGCAGTGACGAGACGGTTACAGGGACCACGATGCGAACCAGCAGCCCGTGCAGAGGAATTTAAGCTGCGTTGACGCCGAGGGAGGCCGCCTTCTGTTCCGTATACTGCCAGTAACGCTGTACGGGATCCTCCGTTACGATGATAGACGACGAAATACGGAGAAATTTGGGAGTCCAAGGAGATCGACGAGGAAGGGCATCCAGAAAGACCACAAATGTGCTTGAGCCTACCGATGCAGACGTTAAGTCGGCAGGATGTCCAGGGTGTGCATAAGGATGCGCGTCTGCCAATGAAATCTTACAGCAACGTGGTGCCGAAGTTGCTCATCGGCCTGGATCATGGACATCTTAGATTGCCACTGAGAACAAGGCGATTTGCCAGAGAGGGACCGTATGCGGCCGCAACCGAGCTAGGTTGGGTTGTGTTCGGGCTCGTAAAGGGGCAGTTCACTTCGCCATCACCGAGGTCCTGCCTACTTGCCGTGTCTATGGATGATACGGTGGAAATCTGGAAGGACAACCACGTTAAGCTGCCACAGAGCTATGAGATGGTATACAAACGGCTGGTCAACCTCGAGAAGAAGATGAAGCGATGAACAGTTGGCGGTGGAATACTGTCGGATCAACAATGATTATCAAAAGGGCACGGAGCAGTTAGAGCCATAGAAGTGCACGTGTTCGTGGTTGCAAGTCAATCTGCATTCGCGGCGGTGGCCTACTGGAGGGCCACGTATAAGGACGACAACGTGCTGGTGAGCTTCGTATGCGCCCCGATGAGAATGAGCAGTTCTTGGAACCAGACACTGTCAAGGAGGTGCACAGTGTGGTCATGGATGACGTGGAGTTATGGACAGACTCGAAGACGCTGCTGAGATGGATTGGCAGCACACAGCGCCGGTTCAGTGATCCTGCCTTGCCCCGACGAGAGTTGCGCAAGGGCATCGAGGAGCTGATGGAGATGGAGCGGAGCTGATAGAGTCCACAGACGCGCTACAGTGCGCATAAACGACAACGGCCTATCTCGGACAATGATGCGATCCGTCTCTAAACTTGCAGTTTTGAATTGAGTGAAGCGGTTCTGCACGGGGTCGGCGATGTCGACGATCGAACATTGTAATCGATAGGCGCAGTTAGTATATTAAGAGTGACGAGAAAATACTGAAGGATTTTGATCTCAAGTGTGTACGGGTATATTTTTAACCCTAAGTTAACCGCCAAAATTGGGCGTTCTTATAGTCCTGTGAAAAGTAGGAGGACATACTGCGGAAAGCGTGTGTGAGAGTTTACTGAACTGTAAAATTAAGGTTAAGTTCATTTTCCCGTAGAAGAAAACATACGTAGTGCTTCGCATCTGCTTGTCAGCCTCGGGCCAGGGATGTTTCCTTTGTTTGGCGGGAACTAGAGATGTGGAGCCGTTAAAGGCATATCCAAGGGTCCCACGACAAATATGTTTAATGTTCCGAGAGATTTAAGTATTTAAGCCTATATCAATGTTCAGCCCTTTGTTTAGAGAAAGAATGAGAATGAACCGCTGCTTCATTTTCGTCTGTACACAGTTACCTATGAATTGGCACAGCCCCATTTTTGGTTGCTCGAGCTGTATAAGTTATCCCTAAAAACAAGAAGTTCTTTCCTACCGCTCCCTGAAAATTATTTAAATTTAATACAAACTTACTAAGTATATTCACTATTAAAAAAAATCGTTGAATAACATTATTAAAATAGTTAAAAGCCGACAATTACAAGAATCACAAGCACGAACTCTTAACACTATTTGCTCTACCAACTTCTGGGCGGAGTACGTTGTTGTCAAGGAGTTCGAAGCAAAGAAAAAGAAAAAGCGGCCTGTAGGAATAACTCCTCCCAGGCATGATCATAACACTGCGCCTTCTGCTTCTCAGGTTATTGAGCTAGCAGAAACCTGGTTATAGCAGGAGATTCTGAATTCGGAATTTTTTTCCAGCTGTGTTCACAGAATATTGGCTAGATCGCCCTTTCAGGCGCGGGGGTGGCGTTCTTATAGCGGTGGACTCTTCACTCCTCAGAATTATTAACCTTCGAGGAATGCAACGATGTTGAATGGTAGCTTCATTTTCTTACCTGTTCTTACATACCTGTATTGTTGGAACTTCTTATTTATTGGAACAACCTTTCCGCTATTTAGATGGTTTCCAATAGACTTTGGATGGAGACCAGTTGGTAGTCCTAGGTGATTTTAATATCCCGGGTGCTATTTGGTGCTAAAATAATTCCGTTGGCTTGTTCGACATTTCGCTGTCTTAAGTCAACAATGTGCGAAATTCCGTACAGTGCACAGTGGGTCCAATAGCTCTGCTAGCAGAACTAAATTAATAACTTTAGTAAATTAATAGATATTTTAATGAAACTTTCTACTTACAGTTTTTAATTCATTTTACGTATATTCTCCAAATTTCAATGTCCTACGTTAGGTATTTCTCATACCTCCCATACAAATGTTAAAAAACCATTTTCAACCATATAAATGTTCACATTTTTTTTTTTTTAAATTTTGAAGTGCTTTATTTTTGATTTTACATTTTTACTAATGAGTTTTTTCTATTTATTATTCGCTACTATTATTCGGAATCTGAAGATTCAGAATCATTATTTAAATGTGGGAAATTTATTAGAAAACCAGCAACAACTTTATCAAATTTATAGATTTAACCGAATTTGTTGACATTTTAGACAATGATGTTATTAGTGGATCAGAAGACACGAGTAATGCGTGCATTACATCTTCCATTGTATTAGATCTATTATTCTTTCTAGAATGATTCTCCCGTATATTCCGGAAATCCTTATTCCTGGCTTCCTGGGCTTCTTCAGACATCATGCCAATAGGAAGACCCACATGCTTTATGATGTCTGCACCATGA